CCAGGTCCCTTCTACCAAGGTCCTGTGGCAGCCTCAGGCAGCTTCCTCATGCCCTCCCCTCCCAGACAAGCAGGTCATTGGTCTCGTGGAGAACCAGAGTGATTGGTACCTGGGAAACCTCTGGAAGAACCACAGGCCCTGGCCTGCCTTGGGCCGGGGATTTAACACAGGTAGGGACAGTGGTGGGGCCAGGTGGCGGGGGACCGGGACTGCTGCCCCACGGGCTGCACAGGACATAGAATGCTAGGGAGCCTCCAGGGAGAATACTCACTGCAATTGAGTCGATTGCGACTCATAGTGACCTCCCTCGGGTTTCTGAGGTGGTAAATCTTTAGAGAAGTAGATTGCTCCATCTTCCTTCCATGGAGTGGCTAGTGGGTTTGAACTTCCAGGCTTCAAATTAGCAGTCAAATGCCTTAAGCACTGTGCTCCCAGAGCTCCAGGAAGAATCGTGTTGTGGAAAGACACTGGATGAGTAGCCAGAAAACAATTCCGACCTTGGCTTCATGACCAAGTCACTTTGTCCCTCTGAGCCTCAGTTTTCCTCATCTATTGAATGGGAATGGTTTTCCCAGACTTGGCATCACTGACTGTAAGAAGATGGCTGGGGAGGTGCTTACCCCAGAGAAGACTGATTGTGTATAGAGATAGTTCACGCTCCTGCCAGAAAAGACCAGTTTAAAAAAAAAAAGGAACTCACTGCCGTCGAGTCAATTCTGACTCAAAGATCAGTGAGTTTAAAAAAAAAAAAAAGCATTCTAGAGACACCTTCATGACCACTGGCTTCCAGGAGCTGGGCTGTCCCCAGGTGTGCGTGACCAGTGTGCACAACCACCTCTCCTCTTGGCAGGTGTCATCCTCCTGCGGCTGGACCGGCTTCGGCAGGCTGGCTGGGAGCATGTCTGGATGGTGACGGCTAGGCGGCTGCTCCTGACCCTGTCCGCCACCTCTCTGGCCGACCAGGTCTGGGGGAAACTTTGGGAGGGTAGGGGCAGGCTTGGGGCCAGATGTGTGACAGCTGTCCCTGCCCAGGATATCTTCAATGCTGTAATAAAGGAGCAGCCAGAGCTGGTTCTGCTCTTGCCTTGCGTCTGGAACCTGCAGCTGTCAGACCACACGCGGGCTGAGCATTGCTACTCCGAGGCGTCTGACCTCAAGGTGAGTGGGATAGGGGACTGCGGAGGATGGAGACCCCTGCTCCCTGTCCCCACTCCTACCGACACCCTCCCTGGTCCCAGGTGATCCACTGGAACTCACCAAAGAAGCTACGGGTGAAGAACAAGCACGTGGAATTCTTCCGCAACCTCTATCTGACCTTCCTGGAGTACGACGGGAACCTGCTGCGGAGAGAACTCTTTGGGTGCCCCAGCCAGCCCCCACCTCAGGCTGAGGAGGTGAGACAGAGCCCCTGCCCTAGTCTGTGGAGGCTGTGCCCTTCTCTGCTCCGGCAGGCCCCAGCCTTGTCTCTGGGGACATGACCTCCTGGCCTAGCCAGGTCCTCCTCCCTGTCCCCTCAGTTGCAGCGTGCCCGGGCACACCTGGACGAGGAAGATGCCTGCTTTGAGTTTCAGCACCAGCGACTCACTATGCCCCGTGTACACCTCACCTTCCTGCCGGTCGAGCTGCAACTGCCCCGGCTCTACGATGTCACCCTGGTGGCTCAACTGTCCATGGACCGGTAAGTGTGCCAAGGGCAGCCCTGGGGAGTACAGCATGGACTGGTAGGAGGAAGAATGCTCCCTGCCTTTTGCCCTGGTAGCGAGCTGCCTGTCTCTTTGAGGGGTCCCAGAAGCTGGAGACACACAAGATGGGCTGGAAAGAGCTTGGGCTTCAGAGTCAAGCAGATACCCAGAACTGCCCGTCAGTAGCCATGGGACTGTGGGCAAGTCTTAGTATCTCTGGTCTTCAGTTTTCTCATCTGTAGGATGAGAAAGTGCCCACCTTGTGGGGTAGTTGTGAAGATTAAGCAAGACCCAGCTCCAAAGGTCTTGGGAGGTGTTCAATACATCACAGCAGCTGACACTGGGGAGGGTTGCCAGCCCTCCCTGGGCTCACCGCCTCCCTTGCCCCAGGCTGCAGATGCTGGAAGCCCTGTGTGGCCACTGGCCGGGCCCCATGAGCCTGGCCTTGTACCTGACAGACGCAGAGGCCCAGCAGTTCCTGCGCTTCGTTGAGGCCTCGCCAGTGCTCTCTGCCCGGCACAATGTGGCCTACCATGTGGTGTACCGCGAGGGTCCCCTCTACCCTGTCAACCATCTTCGCAACGTGGCCTTGGCCCAGGCCCTCACATCCTACGTCTTCCTCAGCGACATCGATTTCCTGCCCGTCCACTCCCTCTACGACTACCTCAGGTGGGAGTGAGAGAATAGTGTGTGAGGTGGATGTGAACGGGGTGGGGGTACACCTCAGGCATGTGTGTCCCTGCTCCTTTCTGGGCCTTAGTGTCCTCTGTGAAGCGGGATCGTAGGACCAGGGGTTCCACATGGTTTCTCTGCACTGCCGCAGGAGGCAGGGGCGGCTGGTCCGTGCTTTCAGCAGCAGCTCCGCTCATCGCGTCTGTGCTGTCAGACTGGACATCAGGGTGAAATGTCCTCTGAAGGAAGAGTTTCTATAGCTGATTTAAAAACCCAAGAACCTCCAGGCCCAGTGTGGAGGCGAAGTGCCTCCTCCTCCTCCTGCTCACGGAGGCTCCCTCCTCAGGGCCTCCATGGAACAGCTGGAGCTGAGCAGCCGGCCGAAGGTGGCTCTGGTGGTGCCGGCATTTGAGAGCCTGCACTACCGCCTCAGCTTCCCTGCTTCCAAGGCCGAGCTGCTGGCCTTGCTGGACGCCGGCTCTCTCTACACCTTCAGGTAGGGGACACCAGTGCTCTGCCAGCTGTGTGTACCATGCTGGCTCCTAGGGCCCATGAGTCCCCTACCCGGTCCTACTCCACAGGTACCATGTGTGGCCCCGGGGCCATGCACCCACAGACTATGCCCGCTGGCGGGAGGCTCAGGCCCCATACCGAGTGCAGTGGGCAGCTGACTACGAGCCGTACGTGGTGGTGCCACGTGACTGTCCGCACTATGACTCCCGCTTTGTGGGCTTTGGCTGGAACAAGGTGGCTCACATTGTGGAGCTGGATGCACAGGTGAGGGGGATGTCTCACTGCCTCCAGCTTTGAACACTTCCAGGTACAGGGAACCCAGTCCACCTCTGCGGTGCACACTGCCCCACTGGGCAGCACCCCTAGAGAACTCTCCCCTTGGTGGAACTAGGATCATCTACCCTTAGGCCCTTGTTTTGTCTCCGAGTGGTTCCCCGGCCCAGCACTGACCGTCCCTCTGCCTCATCCCGGCAGGAATACGAGTTCCTGGTGCTGCCTGAGGCCTTCGCCATCCACATGCCCCATGCACCAAGCCTCGACATCTCCCGCTTCCGCTCCAACCCTGCCTATCGAGACTGCCTGCAGGCCCTTAAGGATGAGTTCCACCAAGACTTGTCCCGCCGCTATGGGGCTGCCGCCCTCAAATACCTCCCTGCCCTGCAGCAGTCCTGAGGCCCCGTGTCACTCTGCCAAGGCTGGGGCTCCCCCGGGTCCTCGCCTTGGCTCATCTGCATCACTGCACACACTGCAGCAGCCTTGCCAGCCCCCGCCACCATCACGGCTATTTAAGGTCTCTGTGGGAAAGGCTGGGGGGAGACCTGTGGGTGGGTTCTGGGGTCCTCCCCTTGCTGCTACTCTGCAACTGGGCTCTAGCCTCCCCCTGCCCCAGCTGGTCTGGGGCTGGTTTCCCCACCTCAACTCTCTTTTATCTTTTTTAATTAAAGTTTTTAAAAAGTCGCTTTTCCATTCCTCTTGGTTTTGGGGATCAAGGGCTCTCTGGCGCATACGACACCTGGTTTCAGTCACAGGAGGGGTAATAGTCCAGCTGGGTCCCTCTCAACAGCTGGAGCCTCAGGAGGGCAGAGGCTGGCACTGGAGTTGTCCCACCCACCCTCCCATGCCCCAAGCCCAACACCATGAGGCCAAGACTCTTTATTTGGCTTTATTTAGTAAAATGTTAAAATAAATAAATACAAATTGATCAGCTGCTCTGTATCCCCCCACCCCCTCAAAACAAAAACCAAACAAACAAAAACAAAAACTTTGAAGCACAAAACTCCAAATACAAGTTCTACTAAGACTGAAATCACAAAGGGCGTGGACGAGAAAGACGGGGTTGGGGCTGGCGGCTCTTTTCTCCTCAGAGCTGGCTGACCTCTGGCCTGCCCCGTCCTGCCCTGCCTGACCGCAGTGGACCTTGGGCTGAGGATGGAACCACACCGGGTGGAGGGGCAGGGACCCCAGGCTGCTGTGGATGACGATGTCCTCAGGGAGGAAAGGCCTGCTGGGCGGAGGGAGCAATTTTTAAGAGTTCTCACCCTGGCTCTCTGGAGGGGGAACCCTCAGCTTCCCACCCCTCACTTAGCTGAGAGAACCAGGGAGGGATCTTCCCAGAGGCCCCCTACTCCCTCCTGGGAGAGGAGCTGACACTGAGGACAGGCTGTGAGTCAGGGTCAGAACGGGACTCCTGTTTCCTGCAGAGGGTGCTCAGCCAGAGGGGTGGGGGGCGGGGGGTGGGGGGAGGCCATTTACCAGAGCTCAGCTGCTCACCTGACATCAACCATGGGATCTGGAAACCCAGGGCCTGGAGAATGCAGCCAGGTAGAAAGCTCCTACATTAAGCCCTTTGGACAGATAAGAAAGACCACACCCTAGAAGGGAGTGAAGGAGGAACCACTTAAGAGTGTCTCCCCGTTAGGGGTTGGGCTGCGCCCCCGCCCCCGCCCGCACCCCAGGAGTGGATCAGAGGACGGCTGCAGAAGGGGTACGCACACAGTGCAGACTGGGAGATCGGGAAGTACCGTCTCCCTCCCGTTCGCACAGGCTGCTGAGCCTGAACCAAGCAAGACCTTCAGCCAGTGGGTGAAGAGGGACAGAAGGGCTGGCAGGGAAAGCGGCACTCGGATGGCAGCCCCCACAGAGGGCAGGGCTGAGTGGGACCATTCCGAGCTGGGTCTCCCTGCCAGGTACAAACGGCAGGCTCGCCCCAAAGGGCTTGATAAGGAAGGAAGAAACAGACTCTGGGTGAGCCCAGCGGAGGCGAGACAAGACTCGGCAAGCTCCACAGAGAAAAAGGGCCTGCAGGTGGCCGGAATAAGGATGGGCTGACGACAGCATGACCGCATCGCCTCCAGAGCCCACTGCCGGGTCCCACGGGCCCGGCAAGGGGGACTCCCAGTCAAGGGCCCCGTGGGCGCCTCCGCCCGACCCCAGGCCTCCAAAGTGACAGAAGGAAAGCCAGCTGGTCTCAGATAGGTGTCTGGCTAGCACCCAAGATGTCTGTCCTGTTAGTTGCTGTTGAGTTGGTTGTCACTCCCGGCGATTCCATGTGCAGAATAGAACTGCTCCGCAGGCTTCAAGGTCGTGACGTTTTGGAAGCAGACTGCCAGGCCTGTCTTCCAAGGCATCTCTAGGGAGGCTCAGACTGCTCACCTTTTGGCTAGCAGTCTAGCGATTAACCATATGTGCCCCCCAGGGACTCCACAAGAGACGTTAAGAGTGGCTGCACTCGGGCTTAAGAAAGAGCAGCAGAAAAGGAGGAGGAAGGAGGAGTTGGAGGCAGCTAGGGTCGGGGTGTCAATGTGAGTGTGTGTCTCAGGTGGCTGGAGTCATCCCAGGTTGGGTGGGCAGAGAGGGGCCCTACCCTTGGGAAGGCGATGAAAGCACAAGAGACCGAGGGAATGATCAGGGCCTTGTATTTACAAGAAAGCGCTGTTTTGGAATTTGAGTCCAGAATGTGGGTTGGGGGCAGGGCTGCATCTTATATGCTAGGTGAGTCACAAAACCTTTTAGATCTGAGCTTGGGGAAGAATGGGCAATCTACTTTCTTAGTGATATCGCCTTGGAAACCCAAGGAGGGGTCACCAAGAGTCGGATCCGACTCGACAGCAGTGAGTTTGGATTTTTTGGTTAGCACAGGCAAGATGAGACCAACTGCCCACAGCAGCAGGCAAAACACTGGTCAACTCCCAGCCCCAGCCCCACCCCCAAGACTCCTAAAGCAGCTATGCTCTCTGAGCAAAGGCCTCTGGTGATGACAGCTATCCAACCCCCTTCAAGGAAAGTTAGGTGCTGCAGCAATCCCTAGTCTATGGGCCCAGACAAGTCAGTTGGAGAATCCAACAGCGGTGTATATCGGCAGCTGGTCTCTGAACCACCGCCAACTCTTCCTCCTCCAACTAGTCCAGGCATCTGCCGAGGCACAGCACCTTGGCTTCTGAATGGGAAGGGGGTTCCTCTCAGTCTCCCTCATCCAATCTGGCAGCCAGGCCCAAGATGAGAGGCCTCTGCAGCTGAACTCTTACTTCCCTCTCCTCACATCCCCAGGAGGAGGAAGGAAGGAAATGGCGGGTATGGAAGAGACTAGTTTTCCTCCAGAAAGCGTCCTTCCCGGCTGCATTTGTTTCCAGAATCCATCTTTGCCTCTTTGGGCCTAACTGGGTGGGGGAGGAGTGGATGTGACCCTTCCTGCACCCCTATGCTCTCCTGCTGCTGAGACAGCACGGGGCTCGGGAGAGACGCTGCAGCAGGGCTGGGACGCAGAGCCTCTGCCTCCCTTCCGCCAGCCAGGGCAGAGGCCTCCAGCAGGAGCACACATCTGACACAATTTATTCCCAAAAGGCAAGATGTTCGAAATGGACTGAGCCTTTAAGAACCGTGGTTTTCTCAAGAAGGAAAGTGACCACAATGGGCCGAGCAAAAGGTGAGCACAGAGATCCGAGCCAAGGGTTACCCAGGAAGCTGGTGGGTGGGCAGAGTGGAGTGACTGCCATCTCTGGTGCCCTGAAGCCAGCAGGCAGAGAAAGTGGCTGGAGATGCTGACCTGTCTTCAAAGGCAAGATGGGCACAGAGGGCTGGCTGTAAGACACCTCGACCCACTAGACAGTTTTCTCCTCCTCTGTTCTCTTGAAGCACCAAGGGCTGCTGCGGCCAGCCTGCCCCCCGCCCCTCCTCCACAAGGCCAGGGTGCACGGGCACCTCTGAATGTCACTCCCCACTTCCCTCCAAGCTGTCCCCAGGGACTCATAATGCTGGTGGCTGAAAGACGGAGAGCAGCACCAAAGGAAGAGATCTTATCTAGGCACCAGCCTTCTGCTCTAGCAAACTCTATTGGGCTGTGGAGACAATGAGTAGGGCTCTGATACCACCCACACTCCATTTGGGCTTCAAAAACAGGAGGGGGAGACAAGAACCCTGCACCAAGAAGAGAAGAGGGGAGGAGGGCAGGGAGCACTCCACCCCTGTGTTTAGGGCTGCAGCCATCTGCAGGACAGAATGACGGCGACCAGCCACTAGTCTTGAGACACAAACAGCAAAATGTCATCATGATCAGCAGGTTCTGTGCTAAAAAATTGTAACTACACAGCATTTTCTCCAGTTCTGACACCTTTTTAATAGAAATCACTGTTTTTAGGAAACAAATAGCACTTTTGTAATTTTTTTTTTACAATGTTTCTTACCTTGATCTTAATTTAAGTAACACTAGGAAGACCTCAGTATCTTTTATTTTCCTTTTTAATTAAAAAAAAAAAAAGTTGATTTTTTTTTTTTCCCCCAGATACAAAGATTTTTGCCCTTGCATAAAAAAACAGTGCCCCAAACGATGACACAAGGACTCACAAAGACTCACTGGACCTCACTGACACTAGGATTCCTATTCTACCATGCAAGGTCTCAACTACCCTTAATTGGACTGTCAGCCTGAAAAACAGCTTTTCTATTCCTTATTTTAGTTTTTGTTACCAAAAAAGTAAAATAAACAACAAAATAAAACTTTGTTTAAAGAAAAATAAAAGAACAAAAACAAAAATAAAAAAAGAAAGAGAAAGAAACGTCTCCATTCATTCACACACACCTGGGTCGCGTGCTGCTTCGCTCAGGGTCTTCTCTTCTTATAAATATAGAAAAGGGATGGAGCTTGTTTTCAAGTAAAATCACTGATCCACCTTTTTTCCTTCCTCGACACACACTCCCTTCTTCTCCACATGGAGCTAGGGCAGCGGCAGCCCCGCTCTGCTTGTTCTTGGAGAGGGAAAGTGACTGGGTCGTCCACAGGGATGCGCGCCACTTAACCGAAGGAGGGAAAGGGCGGTGAGCACGAGGCTTTGGGAGCAGGAGCACCCGTGGCGGGAAGCTGCGTGCCCTGGGAGAAGACCTAGTAGCTATTCTCGGGGTACATCTCTCCTCGCACTGCGCCCCACTCCAGACAACATTAAATACTGTTATTTGATATACTTTCCCCTTCCCTCGCCCCTCCCCATACCTGTTTTGGGCACTGGGATTGGTTAAATCTCGGTCTCCTTTTTTTGGTTTTATAGTAGTGAACGTTTAGAAACAGGAAAGCCCACACACTCTTTGGACTTGTCTTCTCTACCTAAACCAACGGCTCGGCAAATAAGGATCTGAAACCTGCTCTCCTCCCTCCGCCCATCCCTGCTCCCCACCCAACAAAA